ATCGAGCGGTACACCCCTGGTATATCGCTCGGTACAAAATTACGATCCTTGTCATGAACAAACAGACAATGGCCACTTTGTAACTTCTTTTCCAATTTTGCAGGTTTCTTATGCTGTCTACCATCCCCATCTTAATAGCATCACTGGTTGTCTTGGTTGTGGCCAACCTTGTGGAGCTGGGCAATGTGGTTCATGCAGTGCTCTCCACAGTCAGTGTCATTGTATACTTCTGCTGCTTTGTCATGGGTTTTGGACCAATCCCAAATATCCTCTGCTCGGAAATCTTCCCAACTCGGGTCCGTGGTGTCTGCATAGCTATCTGTGCACTTATATTCTGGATCGGAGATATCATAGTCACCTACACCCTACCTGTGATGTTGAACACAATTGGCCTTGCTGGCGTGTTTGCAATTTACTTAGTAGTCTGTATCATAGCTTTTGTGTTCGTGTTTCTAAAGGTTCCCGAAACAAAAGGCATGCCTCTGGAGGTTATTGCAGAGTTGTTTGCTGTTGGCACAAAACAAGCTGCTCCACAAAATTGATGACATTTAACTTGGCATTTCAAACACGGACATCCCAGCCATCATCTTGCATCTCTGCAAGTTAATTACAGTTCATTTGAGCATTAAGTGAGTGATTAAGACAGATGAAATAGAAAGAGACAGTAAAACCGGAAGAATGGAATTTTAGGTGTCCCCGAGAAGTTGCTGGATTTGGTGCATCGTGTTTCATCTGGCGATGAGGAGATTCCAGATTTAGGAATTGAATTCCTGTTATTTCTTTGGCATTATTATCTTTCACTTGGGTATATTTTCTTGGCTTTCTATGTCAACTGTGATTGGATGGAATTGTTACCGCTCAAACTTGTATGAAATCCTAAACCTCAGGGAGTAGATTCATGTATGGAATCTTTCAATCACATGTTTGACTGTTATTGGCATTGCTCCATGACGTGAAGGAAATATCAGTGTTTGCCTTCCAAAGGATCTGATTTGTGAACCAAACTAGTTCGACCACCGGTACACAGTTTTAAAACCAATCCGACCAACGGATCCGATCCGGATTTAATAACTATGATGGTAAGTCTCGAAACAAAGAAGAAAAAGTAGGTTTACCGACGTGTCAATTGTTATTAGATATGAAATATTTTCTCTTTTGTCATATTTTCTTAACGACATTGTAACAACATAACACTGTTAAGCCTTTTGACTTTTTTTTTTTTTTTGGTCTCTTTTAGCTTAGCTTTTTAATATGTATTTAGAGAAGGAGGTTTAAGTGAAAGTACAATTGTGAGATGCTTTAAATGTTTGGTAAGTAATAAATTAAAATTTTATTTAAATATTTATTTACATAAATGTTGTTTGATAAAATTATATTTAAAAAATATTTCGAATATCATGTGATAAATTTACCCTTTTAATATTTTTAATCTTTATTCAAAAGTATATATATTATATATATATATATACTCTTATAAAAAATTTCATGTAGCCCATATACATAATAAATAAAAAATATAATCATACAATTGAATATAAAATAATATTTAAAAAAAATAAATAAAATTTTATCTTATAGAAAATATAAATTCAAAGAATGAAACTGATAAGAGAAAGTGAGAGAAAATAAGAATTATGATTTCTATCACATAATGACAATTCTAATGATTTTAGTGAATATCATAATTCTATCTTAAGACAAGACAGCATGGGGCATTTGCACTGTGGTATCTAAGTCAAACGTGATTTGAAAAAAAAAAAAAATCAAATACCAATTGATAATTGAAATAAATATTGAATTATAACACACATCTCTAATGTGTTCTCAGATAATAAGATTAATATTAGAAGAATGACTAATTGTTTGTTGTTTCTGAGTTCCTAACAAGAAAAGAAAAAAAGAAGACAGTGGTGCAGGAAATTGTATCGCGACTTTACGCTTATATACAATGAAAAGTCAAGGTCTTGTATTCTTTCAGATTTAAGGTGACTTGTGGCAGAGCGATACCGAATACCATGATTGATGAGCATTACTCTTAAACTCCATGCATATAATAAATTTAATTTATGGTGTGAAACCGGTAAAGATGAGATTGTAATTTGCAATCAATAATAAGAGCTTCAACCTGGTTACAAATTAAAATCGATTCAACAATCATTAAGGAAATACTGACCACTGAGAAAGATCCACCGTGGATCAGACCATATCATTATGTGTATCAAAGGTCCTCCTAACGCAATCGAGTTTTTTTCGTTATCTTATATTGATTTTGTGAATATAATTAAACAGCTAATTAAATTACAAAAAGGATAGGATAAATAAATCTGTTGCTTTCCTTTAGTGTTACTGTTTCTTTGCCCATATGAAGCATGACATCTTAGTATACTTTATTTTTGGTAAAAACCAGTTATGGTGGTTTCTTCCCCACGTCGGTTCGTAGCTTTACAGGGACGTATATGTTAAATTAAAGTTTAAAGGGGTAGAGTTTAAAATTTACCCCCAGGACATCTATGCAATTTTGCCTCGCAAGCAATCGAGGCGAAGAAGAACTCGATCGATCGAAACTTCACGTTACCGTCCTCGTCGCCTTCGCTGATCGCAATCGGATTCCATGGCGACGACCGGGAACAGCAGCATCAACGCCAAGCTCGTGAGTCAACTCCTCCTGTCATTTCTCCTGCATAACGAATTCTTCGATCTAAGATTCTCCCTTCTCGAAATCCCAGGTCCTGTTAGGTGATATGGGCGCGGGGAAGTCCAGCCTCGTTCTTCGGTTCGTCAAGGGGCAGTTCCTCGAGTTCCAGGTTCCCGTTCCTCCAGATTGTCCGTTCCTTCGAGATTCTGGCTCGATTACGGTGCGGTTCCGGGAAAAGCAAGGGTTTTTGGGTTGATTTTCTTGGTTTGATCGCAGGAGTCCACTATTGGCGCGGCATTCTTCTCGCAGATGTTGGCGGTGGGTGATGCCACGGTGAATTTTGAGATTTGGGACACGGCCGGGCAGGAGAGATATCACAGCTTGGCTCCCATGTACTACAGAGGAGCCGCGGCGGCGATCATCGTATATGATATCTCTAGCTCGGTGAGTCGCACTCCTTTGCCGTGCTTACACGTGCCCGATGCATAAAAATCATTATTTCCTTACCCTTTTTTACTGAACTATTATATTTCTATGTAAGGAATCATTTGAGAGAGCAAAAAAGTGGGTGCAAGAGCTGCAAAAACAAGGTGGATTTATATTGGATTACGTTACCTTTGGAATTTGATTATATTTATGATTTGTTAGCTAATAGGGACGCGACAATATTAGGTAATCCAAATATGGTGAGAGCTCTTGCAGGAAATAAATGTGATTTGGAGGATAAAAGAAAGGTGACAACTGAGGTAACTCCTGTGCCTGATAAGTTCTGATTTAGATTCATTTCTTCGGTTTTCTTTTTGGAATGCAGAATCAAAGGTCAGTAATAGAAAAAGAACTGAAGTTCTGCTTTAATATATGACAGATACAAGAAAATGGACATGGAAACTAGGATAATTTTATACTTTTAGCTTATAAGTTTTTGCCAAGGTATACTGGGAAAAATTTGCAAGTGACTAGCTAATTGTATATGTTCTGGCAATTCTTTGTCCTGCCTTAGTTTTAGGAGTATCTTTCTTCCTGCTAGAGCAGCAGCCCCATGATCGTGTGGTTTGTTCTTTTCTTTTATAAATTCAAGGCCAAGGCCCTTTTTGTTGCAACCATTGCTTACACTGCCATAAAAAGGTTGAAAAATTTGAGTATCTTCCTTATCTGAAATCTTCACTGATCTTTTATTTTTCTTCATAATTTTATGCACATTGACGGTCAATAATTTACAAATGTGTAATGTGTATCAAGGACCACTGTATTGTGTTGACCAGTTGTATCAGTCCATGGGCATATTAGTATATATTGGTCGGTACTTGACGTACCATATTGTCACGAACGACTGTCATGTGCCCATAACACCTTCGTCAATGGATCATTCGTTGCTTTTGTTTGCTTGTATAGTTGTTTGACACAATGTTTTGCTTTCTTTTTGTATGTTTTTCTTGTTTTTTTGTAAGCATAGATAGTTTGCAAGGCTGCACGATGATTGCTCGCTAGGCAAATTGGTCCAAAACTATCTCGTTTTCATATGTAGCGGCCTGTTTTCTCAAGGCTGGCTGCTATGTGGTGCAAAACATCAGCAATCTCAGCCCATTGGAACCATCTAGATGACATAGCATTAGATGGGGCTTTGGGATAGTGTTGGGCTCTGTTTGGATAAACAAGCTTGTATGCAGTGTGCATAGACTTGCCTTATACCCAATACCCATTTGAGCAGTCGTTTATGGACTTGTGGTTGTCTTTTACCCTTTTAAAGTCCTTAGTTTCCCTTTCTCCTAATCTCTTTGTACTCTAAGTGTTTGTTGAATTGCTTGTTTGCTATACCTTTCCACGAGATGTTTGGGATTTGTTCGTCGTTCATTTTCTTGAAATCTAATCCACTTTATTCCTTCTAGGTTGACCCTTTGCCGACAGATATCACAAGGGTGCATCACGACTTGGGCAATTCTAGTTAAGTTTGTAACATTTGGTATCGGAGTAGGCAAGCAATTCGAGCAAACAACAAAAGTTCACACACTCGCCATGGCGAATCTAGTAAGACTACTAAGGGGGCAACTTCCTAAAGTGGCCACTGGGGGATTGTAAGTGTAAACATGCTCTTAAGTTGTTGGAGTCGCTTATGAGGAGCATGATTGCTAAAATGGTGACCAAGAAGTTGGCAATTTTCCACGAGTAGAGAAAGCGCAATTCGAAATGCCGATGGTGGGAAAAGAAAAGGACCATAAGGAGAGTTTTGCAATAGCGGAAACCCGCCTCGATGTCCTCGAAACAAGCTTGGAGGAACTCTACCAAGGCCAACGACGGCTTTTTGGGTAGATAATTTGCAAGAGGCAAAATCTTGGATTGACATAATGGAGTCTCGAGTTGATCGACTAACGAAAGATAACCAAGAGTCCATACAACTTTTACCAGAAGTCATGGTGGATTTCATGGCAAGATCACAATGTTCACGAGAGCTCTTCACGTGGGAGGGAACAACACTCGTATCGCTCTGCAACAAAACTTGAGAGTACATGAGCCGTACTACTACAGGGGTGGTAGGGATGAAAAGGAACTTGAGAATTTTCTATTTGATATGGAGTAGTAGTTTCGGGCAACGAGGCCCGATTCTGAAGAAACCACAATGTTGATAGTAACCATGTATTTAATTGAGGATATAAAACTTTGGTGGCTTGATGAGAAGAGATCCAATAAGGTCGATGTCAGGTGGATATGTGGAAAGAATTGAAGCGAGAGTTATGAACTTAGTTCCTACATGAGAACACTGAATTCGTCACGCGATGGAAGCTAAGACAACTCTGCCAAAACACTTCTATCAGGGATTACGTGACGTAGTTCTCAACAAGACATACAAGATACGTCCAAGAAAGACAAATTGTTTAAATTCCTTGATGGCCTAAATCCATGTGCATAATAGGAATTGCATCGACGAAATGCCAATATTTAGTTGGAGCAATGACAGTTGTAGAAAGGCTCACCGACTTAGTTTCCTCAGAGGAGTCGAGGAAAAGAAGAGATTTTCGGGAAATCGACTGTGTAAGTATCTCAGAATGAAAGAGATTGCAATTAAACAGAAGAGGAAGAGTTCACAAAAGGAGCCGAGTTCAAACGCAAAGCCTCGAAGATTTGCGAATGCTTTTTATGCGGAGGGTTACACATGGTGAGAGAGTCTCCTCAGGAGCAGGCACTCAATGCACTAACAACAATAATCTATCCTACAAAATCGGACAATGGCAAGGCTATCACCCTTAGTTCTAGCAACTCAGAATCTAATAGTGATGATTTTTTAATGTGTTTGTTGAATGCATTGCGGGGTCAAGTGGGGAGCAATTCAATGCAAAGCAACACAAAGTAGGGAGTAGGGAGCTGCTATATATATGGACATTAAGCTCAATGGACGAACAAACCGTGTGATGGTGGATATGGACACTATTGATGGATTG